TGCCTCCACATGATTTTCGTTGTCAATTACTTGAAATGAAATGTTTCCAAGCCATAAAACTGCAGCAAGCATTGCAAATGCCTGCTCTTGATCTTCTTTGTGAATTTGAACAATGTCCAGGGCTTCCTGGGGAGATAAGGAAAATAACACACAAATAGAGAAAGATGGATGCTTATGACCATGAAATAAAATGAAGTGACAGTGGGCCTTCAACCCATAAACAGACAATCATTTGAATTACCACAAGCTTATGAAACTTCATGCCATCATCAACACCGTTGATTACCAAGCACTCACTCTGGTTAAGATACTTGTACTCGCTAGCCATTTTAAGGTTAAGTCTATCTGCAGAAGAAACAAGAAATTACCCCAACTTATGAATCAATTGCATAGTGGAACATAGAAGTAGAGAACACATGATATATGTTTAACTTTTCAAGAAAAAGAGCTGGAACATAGAAGTAGCATTAGAGTTTCTTATTGATAACTACAATAAAGCCTTCCCAAACTACTCTCAGTCAGCTATATGGATTTATGATTGACCATTAACAAATTTCAGTGTGTTGTGTCTTCTACAATTATTAATCACCAACAAAATTAGCATATAGAGAAGGTTCAAGCAATTGGATGATCCACCATTTAGTTACAAAAAGCATCTTTCAATTTTCCAGATTTCATTTTCTTTTTTAACAGGAAAAGGTGTTCATTTGGCAGAACATGAAGAAGTGTTTCCAATTATGAAAAATCACAAATGCATTATATTTTGAGAAAGACAACATAATACGTAAATACATTGATCAAGCATAAATATCATTTGAAAAAAAACAAAACAGATTATTATAATCTGAGGGCACAACAAGGATTTACAGGCTTCAACCACCAATGAAAATAAAAGCAATAACAATCTAAGAGAGCAAAAGTACTTTGGTAATAGTGAGCATCAAGAAACTGCACAACCAAGTGGATGACACCAGATGTTTTTTTGGATGCTAATAGGGTCAGGAAAAAAAATTTGAACTTGGTAGGAGCGAACGTTGTCCAGATGAAAAACAAAGCAAAATTGTATACAAGTTTCAACAATAACATGGAAAAACAAGGATTCACAATTCTTCTTTTTTAAGGGAAAGGAAGGGGATTTGCAATATTTTTGGGGAGAAAGAAAAAAGGCTTTGATTTTACCAAGACTGAGCGAACCTTCATTTCCCAGTGCAACTAACATTCAGTTGAGATTCTAGAAGACATATATAGTTATAGATAGACATGAGATGTCAATGGTACTAGTTCAGCCCTTTCTGTTCTGTGAAAGAATGGAAAATACATGCATCCCATCCCATACAAGGTAGCATAATGCAAAAACAGTACCTCTAAGAGTCGATGGAGCACCAGCACAAAGTTGATAGAAGATATGGTATGATCTTTCACCATTGGCAAGCTGAACTACTCTTGACTGGTCAAATGAGAAAATGTAATTTCAGAAATGGATGGGCGATGCTGATTGACATTCCAATCTAAAACTTCAGAAGCAAGGGTAACTTACCTTTTCGAGTAGGACTATCAACAATTATCATCGGCGAATGGTTTTTGAATATACATGAGTTCAAGTTAATCAGTACCCAGATATCAAATGGCAGACTAATAATGACAATCTATTCAACTTCAACATACTTACAAGTTTGGATTTTAGCACCACGAATCTTTCCTGATGCGGTAAAATGAATTTCAATCAACTTTCCCTGCACCAATTGAGAATTACCTATAAACCAAATTGCAAGAACAGATTTAGGAATCTAACCCAACAAGAAGAAAAAGAATTGGTGACAACTTACAAATCTACTAGAGTTGTCATTCCTGGATGTTTTTGCATTCCCAAATGCTTCAAGTATACAATTGGTCTGAAGGATTTCATGCTCCATACCATCATTGCCACAACCAAGAGCAGCCAAGTACTGCATAACGTACTTTGCTGTCTCAGTTTTCCCAGCTCCACTTTCACCACTGTAGGATAAATAATAAAAGAGACTCTTCAGAGCAGCAGAAATATCTCAATTGCTCATGAAACATGAAAGAGGCAATTAAAGCTGCATAAAAGAAAATACCACAAGACAACAAGGGAAAATATCATGGAAAAGCTCCAAATTAGACTACATTAATGAAAGAAAAAGGCAACAAACCTTATGATTATGGATTGGTTCTTTTCATCTGCACAACCGCAGACAGGAAAAAAAAAAGAAAGAAGAAATAAGAACTCTCAGAAACAATACTAACTTCAAACTCAAATGGTGAAAGGAAAAAAAACGATTCATCCACCTCTCATCATCTCATTATAAGCAGCATCTGCTATAGCATAAACATGAGGGCTGTCCTTAGCCTTCTGCTTGTAAGAAGTGAGGGTTTCATTTCCATAAATTGGAATGTCTTTAAAAGGATTGACTGCAATCAAAACTGGCCCTGCTTTACTCTGTGGAAGGAAACACAAGAGCCAGTCAAAGACAAGCAGAAAGGAAACATAAATGTGGCTTGCAAGGCAATTGCATGACCATCAGGATTATATTCTACTCACATAAATCAGATCCTGAGCATATCTGTGCTTAACATTATGAAGCACAGAAGGTTCGTTTAAATAACTAAGCTGTATGAGATCATCTACACCCTCAAGGACATCAGGATTTGCAGGTATGAGCTCTTCTGTAGACACTTTGATAACCTAGCAAAAGGACAAGCATTATTGCATATATAATCCACCAAGGAAGTAACCAGCACATGTTTAAATAGAATCAGGGATAAAAGGAGCTTATTAACTTACAGTTCCCGATGAAAGTGAAACAGTTGCTTCATCCCCTGAAGTTGACTGTATCTTTCCTATCCCCCATTGCCCATTTGGGAGACGACACCAGACACGTAGCCTCTGAAAAAAAAAAGTTTAAATTAATGTTTCAATTCTCACAAATTTAAAGAAAAAGCAGAGAGAGAATTTTCACACAAAAGTATGCTCTTCTCAAAACAAATCTGGTAAAGGTGTGTTTGGCACAGCTTTCGCTTCTGCTTTTAGGTGCTTTTGGCTTAAGAATGCATTAAATTGATGTTTTTTAGTGATTTCTGATGATTTTAATGTGCTTATATCAAAAATAAAAAACAAAATTGAAAGAATGCATTTTGATGTATTTTCAAACAAAAAGCTATTTTGAAAAGCGCCTGCACCATAATCCTAGACACCCATTTATGATAAAAGGTGTCATCCAGGTACACATTAAGTGATACCTACGAGCTCATCTCAACAACACAACAAAGTTAAATTGTATCTTCTTTCGCACTCTGCCCCACCCACCATAAACCATTAACAATAACAACTCCGCTCTTTCTTCAAAGTTAGTCTTCCAGTAACAACAGCAATATAGAATAGGAACTACTGTTCTCTTCGAGCTTAAGTACCCCTGCTGCTACACATGACACCAATGAATTCTCCATGATAAGAAACTTTCTTTAACTCTTAAAATTACTATTTCTGCCGTGTAATTATAACAAAAACCTTAACTAACAAAACATGCATAACAAGAAACACCCAAGCATTCCTCTTCTTGCAACACGAAATTGCAAGCTAATAATAATATTAAACACCAATAACCAAGTTAATCCAACAAAATAAGAATAATAACCAAACACATTAATTAATTTTTTTCATCAGTTACCTTCTTGATAAAATAATCAATGTTATCATCCCACTCTGGCTCTTTCCCCTTTGGCACTGAACCCGTGACTGGTCCCTTTACTTTCTCATTATTCTCTTCTAAATACGGATTAGAATCCACACAATTTTGATCTTTCCTCATTTTCTTGCTTCCAAAACTCCCTGATTTGTACCCTAACTCCTTCTCCTTTCTTTTATTATACTCCTTCACTTTAGTAACTCTTGTCTCCACTTTGCTCTCCACTTGTCCATTGGAACCAACTTTAAAGTCTGTAGGCAGTGAGTGGCGTGCTGATGGAAGCCGTGCCCTAGAAGCAGGCCGTGCTGGCAAAGCAGGCGGCAGGTCCTTTGACTTCTCCAAAGCCTCATCTCGTCGCCGCAGCGAATCTAGCATCTCCTCCAGAGAGCTCCTTGTCACCGCGGCTGGTGATGCTGATAACATCATTTTTATCGCCAATTTTTCTTCCAAAGTCAAAACCCTGAAAAAATGACACACCAGTAACTCAAAATCTTTAAGAAGAACGCTCAAAGTGGGACCTCCAAAATTAGATTGCAGTCAGGATTTCTCCTAACAACTTGGGATCGATGCTTGCGTTTATGAGGCCCAGAAGGTAAAAGAAGATGACACAAATTGGGTTTTTCTTTTCTGTTTTGTTTTTTCTCTATTGAGTCAAAAATTGAATGAAAAAATAGAAAGAACTGATTCAACAACAAACTCTAAAATTGTCACCAAAAGCTCAGAAACTTGTAATTCAGTACACAACACTTTCAAAAAAACACAACAAAACAGCTTAGATCATCTGCTTAAGATCAACATGGGACCCGCAAACTTAAATTAACAACTAATGACCGGTGATTATGAGACCCGAGATGCAAAAGAAAAGGGAAGAAACTCAAGATGACACCATCTTTGCAATAAATTGTTACATATACAGAAAGTTCATAATTTGGAGTGGTTTTGTGATTAAAACAAATAATAAAGAGGGAAAAAAAAACGAAGAAAAGAAAACTATAATTCAACAAGAAGTCGATAATTGTTACCAAAAGCTGAAATATTGGGATTTATTAAGGACAGCTTGATAGCTTACAAACCCTAATCTGGATCAAAACTACAAATTTCCAGAAACAATAAAGAAGACAAAAATCTCAAATTCAAAATAAAAACAGCTTCTTGTCTCAAAAACTCAAAATTGATGTTTAGACAAGACAACATTTCAAAAATAATAACAATAATAATAAAACAAGTATACTTACAATTGGTAACCAAAAACTCGAAATCTTTGTCTCCAACAAACGCCACCTTGTCCACTTCGAAGCTAAAGACCCAAAAAAGAAACCTTAATCTGGAAAGAAATTTAAGGCTAAAGGTTTTAAGAGAAGGCGAGATTTACAGGTGGAAAACTGGACAGAAATTTAAGGCTAAAGGTTTTAAGAGAAAGCGAGATTTACAGGTGGAAACAAGAAAACAAACTTCGTTCAAGGAAAAAAGAGCGTAAGTTACGAGGGAGGTTGAGAGAGTAACAAAATGTGGTTTAAGTTTGTTATGAAAACAAAAAACAAAAGACAGAGAGAGAGAAAAACAAACCTTGAGACAAGAAGGAAAGTGGGGAAAAAAGCTGTCTTTTTTTATAGAAAAAAAGAGAGGAAAAACAGCAGAACAGAACTTATTACTAGTTTTGATGAGGTTGTTGTTGTGGGTAGTGTCGTTGTTGTTGATGCTTTAAGGTTTTCTTCTTCTTCTTCTTCTTGTTTTTTTGCAATGTTGTTTGTGGTTGCAGGAATTCAAATTTTATGCTCGTTAGGTGGTGAGGGTATTTTTATTCGTTTCTTGACAAAAACGGTTTATTAGATCTGATAAAAAAGATGCTGGATAAGGCAAAATGTTAAAACTTTGCTTCATAAAACGCACAGCATTTGGCGCCATGATAAAATATAACTCTTTAAAAAAATAATTTTTTATAATTTTAATATAATGATGTCAAAAAATAATTTTTATAAAATAAAAAAGTATTATATTGATATATTTTTAAATAAAAATATTTTAAAAAATAATCATTACTATATTCTTAAATACTTTTAATATTAGATTTAAAAAAAAATTAGAGCATTGGTATAATTTAAAAAGACATGAATATATTTTAAAATTATTTACAAGATTATTTAGAATCAATCCTTTATTGTAATAACTTTAATTATTATATTTAATTTAAATTTAATTGATAAATAAGTTAAACTCATATATTTAGAAAAGATAAAATTCAATTCATTTTTTTTCTTTTATTACACTTATCACCTTCATCTTATTCTTTTAAATATCACTAAAAAAATAGGCAAATAACTATTTTGAAAAAACTAGTTTTAATATTAATTTCTCCTATTTAGTTTTAATATTAAAGTAGTTTTATTTTTGTACTATTTTTAGATATTCAATTCTTTTTAAAATTCAATTCCTAAGACTTAAAATAATTATAAACATGAAATTTTATTAAAACATCTTAATTTAATATACTAATTTATTTTATTTCATGTATTTACTTTTTAAAAGAAATATATTTTTATCTTTTTTATCCATTCCTTCTATTGCCCAAATATAATGCGACTTAAAAAAGCCACGAGAGAAAATATGGAAAGTTTACAGGGTTTTTTTGGGTTGGATGATCCTTTGGGGTTTTTTTATTTTAGGTAGAATTTACAGCTTTTATTTGGTTTAAAAAAAAGTAAATATTTGTAAATTTGAGTTAATTACCGTTATAGGATTTGCTGCGTTGTTTGGTTGGATGACATTGCCCCACTGAGATTCTACTGCTTATGTGGGACTTTGTTTATTGCACTAGAAATGGAATTATATGTAATGTTGTTATCTCCGACAAAAAAAAGAAATCTATCAATCAATCATGGATTGCCGTATTTGTTAAGAAAAATCAAGTTAAAACTAATTCTGATCTTGAATAATGGAACCCATGGCCTACTCTTCTTCGTTATAATTTTTTTTTAATTGAATACGAAATAGTAGGAGTAGTTTTTTAATTTTTTTAAAAAAAAAACTAACGATGAAGATTAAATTCAAAAAATTAATGAATTAAGAAAAAACATTAACCATGAAGACATCCTTTGAAATCAATAAGAGTAGTAATTAATTAAACTTTGTCGATGTTAAATAATTATTTAAATTTTAAATTTTAAATTATTAGATAATGTTATTATTTTTTAATATATTTTTTTAAATAAAAATTTTTTGAATTTAAAATTTATACAAACTTATATTACTTCGTGTTTAATTTTTTTATTAAATAAATAAAAATAGTAAAATTTAAATTTATAGTCGTTTGATTATCAAAATTCTAATATCATATCAAATAACCGTCATTTGATCATCAAAATTCTAATATCATATCAAATAACCGTCTTAACTTAAAAGTTTAAGTTGTTTGGTGAAATTATAGAATATAATTTATATTTTTTTTTAATAATTAATGTAAAAAAATATAGAAAAAAGTAATTAAAATACTGATAAAATTATTGATAAAAAGGCAATTTTATTGGCATTTCTATAGGTGATTTTATTGGAATTTCCGCGCTTATTCTGAAAATTTTGACAAAACATATAAAATGTTAAAGGCTTTCCAACCAATTTGGCAAAGAAAGATTCTATCGGTAATTTAGTTGCCTATGGAGTTTTTGACGGGAAATGGGCAGGAAAATCTTATTCTTTGGTGCATTATTCTATTTAGTTACCAATGAAAAAAAACCCAACGAAATACTTTCTTATAACATATTTTTATCAATAATTAAAAATATTAATGAAATCTAGCTTAAATACTAACAAAATATTTTTTAATGTTATCTAGTATTTTAATATAGTATAACTTCTTTAACTTATCCAGGGAAAGCAAAATAAAATGATCATTATAATTATTATTATTATTATTATTATTATTGCTATTATTTGTTTTTTCATGTCTGAACACATTTTAAAAATGCATTTCACTTAAAGAAATATTGAATTGATGTTTTTTTAATGTTTTATAATTACTTTAGTTTTTTTATGTCTAAACACATTTCAAAAATGCATTTGAGTTAAAGAAATATAGAATTAATGTTTTTTTAATGTTTTATAATTACTTTAATATATTAATGTAAAAAATAAAAAATAATTTGAAAAAAAATATATCGAGATAGATAAATCACTATATAGTAATTCATAATATTCTATTTTAATTTTATCCTTAATTTTTTTTTAATTATAGCTTTCTATGTAAAAATTAATAAGCAATTTGTTAAAATTGGTTAAAGAAAGAAAACATTCAACAAAAATGAACCAAAGTGTAAAATAAAAAGAAATTCCATAGCCAAACTCAAATTCGCTAGCAAAATTTCTTTTTAGTCCACTTAATTTTACCTTTTCCTTTACAGTTCCTATAATTTTTTTTTATTTTTATTTTTTTTTTGATTCAAGAATTCATCTTGTTAACATTTCAGTGAAAATCATATAAAAATAATATAAAAAAAAAAAACATTATCAGTTTAGCCTTCTCAATTAAAAAAAAAAACAGAGAGAGAGAAGAAAATCATATAAAAATAATAAAAAAAAAAAACATTATCAGTTTAGCCATATTCCAATGATATAAAATATTCATATAGATATTAACAAGTTCTGGTAAAATGTTTTTTAACCTTCATCATGCTTCACGGAGTAGATCAGGATCAAGAGAATTTCTTCATGGTTTGATTTTTTTATTTATTAAAGCTGTATTGTAATCGGGGCAAAGACATGAGAGTTTACAGGGGCCCAGACCACAGTAAAAATCTTTAATATTATGATCCATAAAAGGAACAATTTTAAATTTTAAAACTAAAATTAGTCTTGGCCCTCCTAAGAGAATTGCATGCCCCCTCCCTAAGCGCAATGCCCCCTCCCAAGAATAGCTTGAAACTACATGATTAAAAATAATAAATTGTGTATTGATTCCCATATTTGGTAAACCAGCCTAATCTTAGCAATAAATATATAATTTTCACATCTAAAACATAGGTAATTGATGATTGGTCGATGACTAAGTCCTTCTATCATAATGGATCACGATTCATTAAATAACGAAGCACTTGGTCGGATATAATTTGTATAAATAAGGTAGTTCACTTTTAAACCCTCTACTTTCCTTTGTTTAGCATTCATAGTATTATAAGATTAATTATGGCTAATCAAGACCAAGTCCCTTCTAAAATGAATAGGCAAAATCAATGCATTCATGGGGTTTATTCCACAACTTTCTTTCAAATTCAAAATCAAAATAATAATATATATATAAAAAAAAAATTGGTCTTTTACCTAGCGAGGAGCTCAAGAATCATTTTAACACCCTTGGATTTTCCCAAATTGGTCTTTTACCTAGCGAGGAGCTGAAGAATCATTTTAACACCCTTGGATTTTCCATTGCGTGGAATCATTGCCGGAAATGGCATGGTAGTGAATAAGCTCTCGAAAGAGGGCACTTTTATTTTTTCCGGCATATAAAATAACAAGAATAATTGATGAGTTTTAATGGCTGTATGCAGGGCAACGTGCCGAAAAGGATAGGGAATGTCTTTTTGTCCTTGGACCATTTTTAGTCGTTTTGATTAAAAAGCTAAAATAATCTTTTGAAAATTTAAATCATGTGCATGATTATGGGTCGAGTTAAGATAAGGTATTGTTAGTCAATGTTTGTTGGATTGTGACCTTGCATGTTGAGGAGGGATGCCTGAATACCTTGATAAATAGTGGACAGTGGGGCCAGTGCTTACGGCGCGAATGAAAAGCCAATTATTTATTAAAAAAAAATTTAAGTGTCATTATTTTTTTCCACGTGGTAAGATATTTAAAATAAAGATAAAAAAACTTAATTAGTGTATTAGATCAAATTAATTAATTATTATTTATGTTAATAAGAAAAAAAAAAAAAGGTTAGCATGCCTTACTCAACCTATTAAATTAAAAGTGAATCGATCACACTGTTTAAATAATAACATGATTAAAATTATATTATCGTTATGTTAAACTCAATTCAGTCACAGCTTATACAATAACAAATTATTAAAAAATTAAATTATAAAAAAAAGTTAAAAAGTAAAATAAAAAGATAAGAATACACTGTATTAATCATGTAAAATCTATTAAAAAATAATATAAATTATATATTGGAACCTTATTTAAAAGTTAAGCTATTTAATTAAATTGATTCTTTGATATGGTATCAAAACCTTGATAACCAAGTAATTACGAGTACAAATATCATTATTCTTATTTATTTGATAAAAACTAAGTATAAGATAGTGCGAGTCTGTAAAAGTTTCAAGTTTAAATAGTTTTTACTTGATGGAATGTATTAGAAAATAATATAAATTATATCATGGGACCTCACTTAAAAACTTAAACTATTGATTGAACTAGTTCTTTGATAAAATCTATGACCTGGGTAATAGTCATGACCAAAATGAGCTAACTTGGACGAACAATTTGTCTTTCCTTTTCCTTCCTTTATTCTCTTCCTATTTGGCCTTGATCGAGTATTAATTGACCTCGAGATGAATTATATCT